TAATTAGAGCAGTCTCAGTACTATGATACGGTCTAAATCCTGACTGGAAATCCTCACAGATACCATTTTTCTCTAAGAAGGAATATAATTGTGAGGATACTACCTTTTTTAGTATCTTGGACAGAAAAGGGAGATTCGAGATCGGTCTGTAATTAACTAGTTCTTTGGGAACACAAGTCCTAACGCATCATTTATATTATCAACATGAATGTTAAAGTCTCCGACAATTAGCGCTTTATCAACATTAACCAATAGGTCTGAGAGGAAATCTGCAAATTTTTTTAGGAAAACTCTATATGGCCCTGGCGGTCTATACACAGTAGCCAGAGTAAGAGATAGGAGATATTTATTTTGTTTATCTGACAGTGTAACATTAAGAAGAAATATTTCGAATGAGTTAAACCTGTATCCTGTTTTCTGAGTAACATTGAGAATATCACTATATATTATTGCAACACCACCGCCACGACCAGTCTGACGGGGATCATGCTTATAACAGTAGCTTGGTGGAGTAGACTCATTTAGACCAATATAGTAATTTGGTTTGAGCCAGGTTTCAGTCAAGCAGAGTACATCAAAACTATTCTCTGTGATCATTTCATCTACAATAACTGCTTTTGCTGCGAGTGATCTAATGTTTAAGAGCCCAAGCTTTAAAATTAGTTTTTGTTCATGCATTTTTCATTTTTCCGGTTTAATCACGATCAGGTTATTTTTCTAGATCCTGCATTAAATTTATATTCACTATTCGGTATTCGGGGAACAGACACAGTCTTTATACATTGGACAATGCAAATACTTCTTTCATTTAAGTGGGTAGAACAAAAGCCATCATAGCAGTTATTTGAGATTTGACTTACTTGTCATATGCAGCGTAGTGTCCTGGAGATGTTGTCCGACAGGAGTTCCACTCCGACTCTGCTGGGGTGCAGGCCATCAGCGCGAAAAAGCCTAGAACGCTCCCAGAAAAGATTCCAATTATTAACAAAGAGCAGTTTCTGTTCTTTACACCATGACAATAACCATTCGTTTAAAGCAAACAGTCTCCTGAACCTTTCGTGTCCTCGTCGATACGTGGGAAGCGGTCCTGACACGACGATCCTCGTCTCGGGCGATGTGCTCGATCAGGTTCCTGAAGTCCCTCTTCAGAGTCGCTGTCTGCCGCAGCTTAGTGTCATTCACGCCCACGTGCAGCACGACAGCGCTGATGCTCTCATCACCCTTCAGGATCGCGGGTATCTGGGCAGAAACATTGAGTACACGAGCACCCGGAAAACAGTGAGTGTGCACTTTACCTTTAGCTAGGGCAGCACGGACGTGCTGGATGATGGAGTCTCCAATGATCATGGCGTTGCGTTCCGTCTCACGGAGGGGAGCGAAGCGGTTCCGGGTGAAGATCTCAAAGACCAGAGGCAATGGAGGGGGAGAGGTCCTCGCCTGGGACCTGGCTCACGTCTTCTGCTGCTGGTGCACCCAGGGTCCATGGTGTCCGACGCGGGAATGAAGAAGACGTGGGAAGATCACGTCCTGTATGCATGGGGCCTGTGCAGTGAAACACACAGATTAGAGCATTCCCCAAATATCTGATAATTGTGTCTCTCTTCCTATTGCATTGCAAAAAATTTTCCAATACACACGCTTCGCTGTTCTTATATTTTTCCGAACTACTGTTTGTGCTCTTTTGTATTGTATTAGTGTCCCCAGCGAATGATGTTTGTTTCCCTTCCCAGACCTTTAATTCCAAGATATTTCTCTGCTGATCTCACTATTATCTTGATTTTCTCAGTTTTCTTATCAGTTTGTGCTGTACAGTTGATCACATCTACAATAAATAGGATAAAATCTTTTTTGCCTACTATCAACGTATCTTCCTTTATCTTGGCACAACCATCACATGCACTCTTTGTGATACCTTCTGTTTCCTTCTCTTTTAGTCTTTCTGACTGAACCAGTTCTCTTTTCACTGCTTCTGCATATGAGATCCCTTGAGATGTTTTCACTCTCTGAACTTCTGTTGCTTTCTTACTGATTTCACATCCTCGGTATGCTGAATTATGTTCACCTCCGCAATTACAGCATTTCAGCTTTGCTCCTTCTTCACATTTCCCATACCCATGTTCTTCTGCACACCTTCCACATTTTTTCTTGCCTCTACACACGGCTGCAACATGTCCATACTTTTGGCATTTGAAACATCTTAGTGGTGGAGGAACGTATGGCCTGACTTCATAACTCATATATCCAATGTATACTCTAGACTGTAACTTTTCACTGTCTATTTTAAGCATCACTGCTAAGCTATCACATTTCTCCCCATTTCTTGTTGTTTTCAGACGTTTTACTTCAACCACTTTGGCTCCAGTTACATCGTCTTTAATTTGTTCAGTTGTTACGGCTGTAGGAACCCCAGAGATAACTCTGACAAATTTCTTATTCTCTACCCTTGTAATGACCACTCTTTGTCCCTCGATTTTATTTAGTTTGGCGGCCTTATTTTGTTGGGTATTGTCTTTACATTCCATTAGTAATGCTCCATTTCGCATAATTCTTGCACTTTTAATTTCTCCTATTAGTTTATTTAGTGATACTGTAAGTTGAATTGGGTTCCACTTACCAAATGATGATCCTTCCTGCACTAGCTTCATTATTACTTTGTATTCTCCGTATTGCTTATCGATTTCCACTGTAGTTTCTCCAATTCCTTGATCACTGTCCGTACCCTCACCATTTGAGATGGTTTTTTGTTTATGCCGTCTATGCTTTCGATTAGTTTTAATGTCTACCGAATTCCAGTCTTCAAATTTCCCGCTACCTACTTCCATTCTTCCTGCTTCGCTATCAAATCCATCACTTCCTTCTGCCATCTCCTGTCCATTCACAGTCCAGTTGTTGCCAACCAACCGGGTTTTTCCCCAGCCAAAAATCAGCACCGTTCTTCTGGCAGCGGTGAAGCTTTTTCGTTCTCAGTTTTTTCCAGCCCTATTTCTAACTCTCTCTACAACATGGCTTTACTTAAGGAAACCTTAAACACCCTAGCATCCCTAGTGGTAAGGAAGAAAACTGCCCACAAAATTCTTATTAACAGGCTCATGTCTGGCCCACACTGGGCCATCATGGGATTAATGTGGGCAGTCCCATAGTGTGAACTGCTCAAAGAGAGCCTGCGGTGAGCCCAAAGCTGTGGGCCTCCCCTGGGCAAGCCCGCACCGGGCCTGTTTAGGTTTGGTGTGGACTGGCCCTAGCCCACTGTGCCCGCAAAAAGCCAGCATGGGCCCGCAAGGACATATTTGCAGGGTTGACTTGACTTGACCTGCACTCAAAGGTAAACACAAATCCTCCGTTTAAAGCAAATAACAATGAGTAAAAGAATGGCGTGTAAGCAATGTAAGCAAGATTAGCGGCAACCGCTAACAGGCTATAAGCTAGTAGCGGACATGGCAAATCAAAATAAAACTAGTGATAACAAGATGCTCCGATTGTTTTTGTTGTAGAAGACAATAGGGGATATATTCACACGTTATAGAAACGAAAATTATGGTGTATAAAATTGATTTTAAGATAGATGGTAAAGAAAATAGATGGTAAAGAATTAACTTGACGGAGCTTCAACTCAAAACACGCGGCAGCAACAAATAGGAAGTGACGTATGTCATCATTATCAAGAAATGTGTTTAGAAATGTGTCTTTGTTTGGAGAACTGAATGAATGGTTTGGGAAATCGGACCAAATTAATCAGTTAGAGTGTTAGCAATTGAGAAAAACTGTAACACAAATTATTAATCTGTTGCCTAAAAATAAAAATGCTGAATTCTGAGATTAACAGCTAAATGTATGACAATAAAAACAGCTGCTCGTGACGGCGGAAGACAGAAGAACACAAAATGCTGGAAAGGGCCGGAGCTCCATAAGGTGAATAATGAAAATGATTTATTGACTGTGTGTGATCATTTGAACTGAAAAGTCATTTTGATAGTAGTAATAAAAATTGTGACACTACAATAAAAACTAAATGACTGATTTCAGTCAACACAAATAAAAGCACAGAAACACATGGCCAGTCAGCAGGACTCTCACACACACACACTGATCTTACTGTCTATATGAGGATTTATTACACACATTTATTCTGACATGTTATTTCACTGACAGAAGTTCAGCTGCAGTATTAATGTCATGAAGAGAAACACCTTTATAACTCTATAAAATCTCACTGTTACTGATTCATCATGCAGCTCAAAGCATTATGGGTAGATTCTCTGGTCAGTCTATTCTGATTCATCAACACAGTTTCACTGATCCATTATAAACATAAAACCCAGGATAGAGCGGCTGAGTGAATGTGGTCTGGACTGTGTGGATGAGGCTCATTGTGTCAGAGACGCTGTAGAAGGACAGAGTTCCTGCACTGCGATCCACAAACACTCCTATTCTCCTGCTGATGGACTTCACAGAGAGAACAGTCTTTATGTTATTGTGTCTAAATGAGTATCTGGAGGAAGAGCAGTCCAAACTCCAGGACTGATCATTATATCCAAACAAACACTCACCACCCTTCCTGCGGATGCTCTTATATGACACTGATATAAACGCATAATCTCCACTCCACTGCAGCTCCCAGTAACAGCGTCCCCATACACTCTCTCTACACATCACCTGAGAGACATCAAATCTGTCTGGATGATCAGGATACGGCTGATCTCTGCCAGTGTTAGTAATCACTCTGTTGCTCTCAGACAGACGGAGGTATTTATTCACTGTGTTCAGATCCAGAGTGAGCTGATGGGAATCTGATGGAGATAAAACACATCAGAATCAGGAATTATAAATCTGTTTGATCAGTACAGATGACCAGATATCTGTGCAAATCATCATTTACATCATCAATTATAAAAGTCTTCTTTCACCTTCTACAGGAAGAACATGAATACACTCAGTGAGTTTTTCTGCTTGTTTTCTTACTGACTTACATTGTAGGAAGTCGTTCCTTGTTCTGGGAACAATGCTGGTGAATGTGACTGTGGAAATCAACAGACATGAAAAGTGTGATTCTCATGATCCTGCATCCATTCCTAAGACATTTCTAATATGATGTTCTGCATGACATGAAATGATGATGGACGCATTTCTGAGAGCAGATGAATCTCCAGGACTTTACCTCTGTCTGAGATCTTCTTGAGCTCCTCTTTGCAGAAATCCTCCAGTTTGTCTCTCAGCTGATGGACAGGTTCTCTCAGACCATCAAAAGAGATGAGAGAACTGAAGAGATAATTTACGTCTGTAGATTCAGGAGGTGCTGAGAGAGACTGGAAACTCTACAGAAAACAGAAATCAAAACTCATCAGCTCCACACTTCACCCAATAACCTGCAGGAACATCAGATTTGTGCGGCTCTTGTTGACTCGACTGATCTTTAGTAACTCACCTAAACTTTCACAGCATTAGCTTCATTCTTCTCATATTCATTAAATCACATTATAGCTACAGATTCTAGTATGTGGTTTCCAGATGCGCTGCCCTGCTGGCGACCTGGACTCAGGTGCTGCTATGCTACAATGATTGTGTCTGTTTGTTTGTTTTAAACTCTTTTTTAAAGATCTTAAAGTTCTTTTAGACATAACATAATTGAGTGACTGTTTTGTTGGCATTATGCCGGCCTGGACAACGAGAATCACTGCTTTTGTTTTTCTCAGGTTGATTTTATTCGGACTTTGTGAAAAATGCTGCGCTACACAAGGAGCGTGGAGGACGTAAGTCTGCCGCCGCTCACTTACTCCAGAGATGCACTATTGTCTCTTCGCACAAATGACATTATTCCGGCAGTTGATTTTTTCACTCTGACTGTGGAAGAGCGGCTACTACGTCAGAAATGTCTTTGAAAGAGAGGCAGGAATACGACAATGAGTCAGATGGAGAGGCCACAGGCCTCCGCTCCCACCGGCTATCATGGGGAATTTGCGTTCACTGAGATGAAAAATGGAAGAGCTTCGCATCAATGTCCGGGGGTGTTACGAGTATTGTGAAGCTGTCATTATAGTGCTAACGGAGACCTGGCTACATCAAAGCATTCCTGACTCGTTATTTGAATTGGATGGCTTTTCCTTCGTGCGTCTGGATAGGATGGAGGCAACTAGGAAGAGCAGAGGAGGAGGTACTCAATACACTGTACGGGACAAGGTATGTAACCCCAACCTGGAGCTGCTTTATTTGTCCTTAAGACCTGTGTATTTACCCAGGGAAGTTGGGAACATAATTTTATGCATGGCATACAGTATATCTCACCAGATGGAAATGCTGCAAAATCAGGGGCTCAAACTGCTGGTTGTATTCAAAGTAAGTTACAAAGTACACAGTGTGCTCCGGTTTTTATTATGGGTGATTTTAATCATTGCAAGTTAGAACTAATGCTGCCTGGCTACGACCAGTATGTCAGATGTGAAACACAGGATAAGAGGATTCTGGACAAATGTTATGGCAATGTTAAAAATACCTATACCACAAAGGCGATGTTAGTGTTGTGGACTTGTGTTTCCTTGTTTTACCCCGTCTTAGTTTCTGCTTCCCTTTTTTGGTCATGTTTCCTGTTTCTGTCCTCGTTGTGTTTTCCTGATTAATTATCTGATTTGCCCCTAGCATTTAAACCCTGTGTTTCCCTGAGTCTGTGTCAGCTGTTATATGTCATCTCCCTGTGCACTCCGTGTGATTCCTCGTTTGATTTCTTTGAATGATTAAAAACTGTGATGTTGTAATACTCCTGCGTCTCCTCGTTCCTCGCTCCTGTGTGAGATTGTGACAGAACAGCCGACCATGACAGTAAGCGGCGCCCCTTCTACCCGTGTTTGTTTTTCCTTTTTTGCGAAAAGTGTTTTGTTTTTTCCATTCATTTCTCCCCGCCCAAATGGAGGAATGGGCGATGTTCATCGCCGTGGTTTAGGCAAGCAGCGACCCTGTCATCTACGCGAAGGCATTCGTGCCGCTTGCCCTCACCAGCTCCCTCGATGGGGAAACCCTCTTGACTTTGTTCCGGGCTCGGGATAACATACCATCTGCCAATGGAGCTCCCAGACACCACTAACCTCGACTGGAAGGAGGCGGTCATCTGGTGTCTGGAGAGCCTCCGATCCCGATCCGGAACCCCTCTGCCGGCCGTTCCACAGTCAAGCCTGCCGGCCGCGGCTCTCTCCAGCCCACCAGCTGCTCCGATGTCAAGCCCGCTGGCTGCGGCTCACACAAGCCCACCGGCCGTTCAGCTGTCAAGCCTGCCGGATGCTCTGATGTCAAGCCCGCCGGCTGCGGCTCACACAAGTCCGCCGGCCG